CTAGTACAGACCATAGCATACATCAAAGAACCTACTATGTTAGCATATGGAATGCTATTCATATAAGTTCTTTCAACATCAGTGCTGGGACACTGATTTATACTCAGCTTTAATTGAGGGTTTGTCGGAGTCACAACAGGCTTTGAATTCGACATACCAAACTTTTCGAGAACCTTCTGTAGATATGCCTCTTGAGATAAGCATAATTTCGAATGCTTTCTATCTCTCTGGATGTCAATCCCAAGAATCCTGGACGCAGCTCCCAAATCCTTCATTTCGAACTCTTTATTGAGTTCAGCCTTCACCCTCATTACCTCTTCGACATTGTTGCTTGCTATTAGAATATCATCCACATAGAGCAACAAAATAACAAATGAATTACCCGGTCGAAATCTGAAGTAAACACAGTGGTCGAACTGGCTTCTGATGAAACTTATGTGTGCCATGAACTTGTCGAATCTCCTATTCCACTGTCGAGGAGATTGTTTCAGTCCATATAAAGATCTATTCAGTTTGCACACATAATCTTCCTTCCCCCTTTCGACATACCCTTCAGGTTGCCTCATCAGGATTGTTTCATCTAGATTACCATACAAGAATGCAGTCTTCACATCCATCTGTTCCAGTTCAAGGTCAAACTGGGCCACCATGGCAAGCAACATTCGAATGGATCTGTGCTTCACAACAGGAGAGAACACATCATTAAAGTCGATACCTTCCTTCTGAGTTAATCCCCTAGCAACCAATCTTGCCTTGTATCTCTTCGACGTCACTCCTTCGATTCCTTCCTTAACTTTGAAAATCCATTTACAGCTGACTAACCTGGCTCCAGCAGGTTTCTTGATCAGTTCCCAGGTGTTGTTATCATGAAGAGATTTCATCTCATCATCCATGGCCTTCAGCCATTCAGTCTTCTTTCGACTCCTCATAACTTCCTTATAGTCTCTAGGTTCTTCATCTAGAACCTCACTAGCAGAGATTAAGGCATAAGCTATAAGATCTGCATACCCAAGTCTCTGAGGTGGCTTGATGACTCTCCTCGACCTGTCTCTTGCTAGCAGGTAGTCATTATCAGTCTCCTCATCTTCGACAACATCTTCTGTGTCTTCTTCGACTTCATCTGGGGTAAGCAATTCAGCATCAACATGCTCCACCTTAACAGGAATCTCTCCCTGTTCCAGCTCTTCGTCAGCATCATCAGTTTTCTTGAAAGCCATCTCTGCTTCGTTGAAAACTACATCTCGACTGGTGATACACCTCCTGTGACCTGGCTCTAGGCACCATAGCCTATAAGCTTTGACTCCTTCAGGGTATCCCATGAACATGCATTTCAGAGCTCTAGGTTCGACCTTGTCTTGCCTAATATGAGCATAGGCCACACAGCCAAATACTCTCAGTCTGTCGAGACTAGGTGGATGTCCCGACCAAACTTCTTCAGGTGTCTTCATTCCCAAGGCAGTCGAGGGACATTTATTTATCAGGTAAGCTGCTGTCGAAACAGCTTCCGCCCAAAACACCTTCTTCAATCCAGCACTAACCAACATGCATCTAACCCTTTCAAGGATTGTTCGATTGAATCTCTCAGCTAAGCCATTTTGTTGAGGAGTACCTGCTACAGTCTTATGCCTTGCAATCCCAGACCCAACACAGTAACTGTCGAAAGCTTCGTTGCAGAATTCAAGGCCATTGTCGGTTCTCAACCTCTTAACCTTTCTGCCAGTCTGAGTTTCGACTAGAATCTTCCAACTTTTGAAATTCTCAAAAGTTTCATCCTTCGTCTTCTGAATGAATACCCATAGTTTTCTAGAATAGTCATCAACGATGGATAGAAAATACCTTGCACCTGAGTGTGAAGGATTCCTTGCAGGCCCCCAAAGATCAGCATGAATGTAATCCAGGGATCCATGTGTTCTTTGCTTGCCTTTGTTAAACTTCGCCCTACAGGATTTACCAAATACACAAGATTCACAAAATTCCAACTTTTCGACTTTGTCACCTCCTAGCAGGTTCTGCTTCCCCAATTCGACCAGGCCTCTTTCGCTGACATGGCCCAATCTCATGTGCCATAATTCTGTCTTCGACATAGACTTCGTGGATGCAACATTTGTCGAACCACTTACAACCTCAGCCTCAAGGGTATACAAGCCTTGTTTCTTCATGCCTCTCAAGACTTCCTTCGACCCCTTCATGACTCTTAGGATACTTTTCTCTCCTTGAAAAACATATCCTTTTCTGTCGAATTCACTAAGAGAAATCAAATTTCTGTTCAAGTCAGGTACGTACCTGACTTCAGTCAATAACCTTATTGACTCATCATGGAGCTTGAATCTCACAGATCCAATACCTGCAATTTTGCAAGATTTGTTGTTTCCTAACAGCACAGATCCACCATCTTGATCACATAGCTCCTCGAACAATTCTCTGTTTGGAGTCATGTGCCAAGTGTAACCTGAATCCATAATCCACTCTTTCCTCGAGTCGCCACTTGAAACCACAAGAACATCAGATGAGTCGAAGTCATCTTGAACAATGGCTGCATTGCCATTACCTCCATGATCTTTCAGGCGTTCAGGGCACAACTTTCTTATGTGACCCTCCTTCTTACAGTGGTAACATCGAATACTAGATGTTTCGCCACTATAAGACTTCTGTTGACTTTTACCTTTTTTCTTGTCGAACTTACCATCCTTTCGCAAGAATTTTCCCTTAACGGCCAAGCCTTCGCCCACCATCGAAGGTTTATGCTCGTTTCGTTCGTTCAAGTCCTTAGAATACAAGGCTGATTGAACTTCTTCAAAGGTCAGGGACTCCCTTCCATACAAGAGAGTTTCTTTGAAGTGAGCATGTGTTCTGGGCAAAGCACACAGTAGCAATAGTGCTTGATCTTCATCATCGATCTTCACATCAATATTTTCAAGATCAAGAATCAGCTTGTTGAACATATCCAACTGCTCAGCCAACACTTTGTCTTCACTCATCTTGAATGAATATAAAGCTTGCTTCAGGTATAGTCGATTCACCAGAGATTTGGTCATGTACAAACTTTCAAGTTTCACCCATAATCCCGATGCTGTAGTCTCCTTTGATACCTGTCGAAGAACCTTATCACCAAGGCTCAATAATATTGCGCTGTGGGCTTTCTCGATCATGCCCGTCTTTTCTTTTGTCGTTAACGCAGCGTGCATGGCTGCCTCACCCTTCCACGCTTCCAAACAATCCTGCTGAACCAATAGGGCTTTCATCTTCAAGCGCCACAGACCAAAGTCGTTCACTCCGGTGAACTTTTCAATCTCATACTTTGTTGAAGGCATCTTCTCCACGCTCACCGCACCAATTTGTTGTGAATCGGATACCTTTAAACAAAGTATAAACGGTTTCTTAATGATCAAGAAACACACAAGGGTTAGGGTTAATAAAGAAACCAAGGTAAAACAACAAGGAACAACAAGGATTGGTTATTAAACTGCTATTCTTTCCTTTCTCTTTGAACAAGATTACAATTATACAAGAATAACAAAATAACCTCTCTCCCTTGAAATTAAGATTTTATCTTCCTATTTTTCCTTATTCCAAGATTGAGAAACTAGCATCCTATTTATAATAAAATAGCACATGCTAACAACCCTAGCAATATTTATTCATGCTAACAACCTTAGCAATATTTACTCATGCTAACAACCTTAGCAATATTTACTCATGCTAACAACCTTAGCAATATTTACTCATGCATGTTAGAACAAACTTCGACTACAACACGCATTACTTGCGAACAGACTTCGACCACACTAGAGTTCGATCCAATGTCTCACATTTATTATATCTGCATTTTAATTTTATAGTTTTCTGATTGATCCTCTCTAGATCGTTCGTGCGAGCAACATTGTCGTTTTCTCAGTTAAACCTCAATAAGGTATTTCCTTGATTTCAGTGTGGTTTGAGAAAGAAACTTCGTAGTTTTATTGACTAGCTTTGTTGTTTTTGTTGTAGAAAAGGACGTTTTGTTGAAATTGAAGTTACTTCTGACTAAGGAGAAGCTTTTGATTCTGTTGCTTCTAGAATCAAGTTGAAATGTCTTTACGTAATGAAGTTCAGTCCTTGTTCACCTTCATTTCTGAATCTAGAGTCTAAATCATTAATAACATTATTAGATATGGTGTCGACATGGTGTTTTCGATTTCCGTATTCTACAGTTTATACATATTACATATAGTCTATTTGCTGAAAATAATTTATGACATTGTAGAAAATACAATAGGAACATGAATGCTTTATTCATTTTAGATTATATATATTGAGAGAAATATATGAATTTTGGGTAAATTTTACTCAGACTAAACTGTGACTTCTACAATTCTGATTGAGCACACGTCCAGAAACATGAAGATTCATAGGTGGTTCTTGTATTTACATAAGAAAATCTCTAATTTTATGAAAAATAAAAGAAACAAAAAAAATCTCTCAAAGATCCACTAAAGTAGAGTACTATGCAATGGCTTCCACAATTTGTGAGCTCCATTGACTCACTGACATTCTCAAAGAACTACACATTTCCTTCATTGAACCAGCCCTATCATATTGCGACAATGCCTTTACTAGACATATTTCCATCAATTCTTCATTACATGAACAAACCAAGTTTATTGACTTGGACTGTCATTTGATTTATAAATTTCTTGAATTTCTTTCATTAACGTTAAATATATAAACTTCTAGAATAGATGTAATCTTGCAATCTTATTTTTGAGCTTGGCCACTATGATATGCAATCTAGGATTAACAACATAGATTTTGATATATATGAAGCATTTCATTTTAAAAGCAAATTCCAAGCAAATCTCAATCACATGGTATATATTTTAATTATCTTAGTTGATCTTTATACGATTTTTTCACGATGCTTGATTCTGTTCTAATTTCTGTGTTTCCGTTGTTTTCTTTTTAAAAGGTTTTGATTGAAGTTGGAGTTTTAGTTGATAGCTGTGCCAACTTTAATTGGAAAGATGGGTAGCACATTCAATCCACAGATTTTAGTGGAAAAACTAGCCAAGCTGAATAGCTCGCAGACAAGCATAGAGAGTATCCTTCAAGGTCGTATTCTAGGCTATAATGTATTTTTTCTCTGTATTCAATATTGCATTGTTCAATCAGTGTTTTTCATATGTTTCCTATTTATTGAGTTTGTTCATCTATGGTTTACTGTCTAACATCACCTGATATCCTTATTTTGTCACACCTTATTTTTAAGTTAGAGCATTTGCCTTGTAATGTTGTTGGGTGCTTAATCTTCCTTCACTTGGTTTTTGCTAAATATCCTCCTCTCCTCTTGTATTATTGCAACAGTCAGACCCCCCTTTCTCAACTGCTGAACCGGCTATGACGTTCTACACATTTACTAGTAAACAATGCAATATAACTGTTATTTCCTTCTTTTCCAAATAAAGGCTAACAATAATCTTGTACTATATTAACCTGCATATGTGCTTGGACTCTCTCATTTTCACACACAAGCTCACACGTAAATATTTATTTGCTTGTTTCCTTAGGGGGTTTTCTCTATATTTATTGGTTATAAATATTCTCCACTCCTTGGATATTTTCCTTAATTTGATCAAGCTTTGTCACATTGGTGCATATTTCATATGAACGAAGCCAAACAAGTTGTCAAAACGTGGGCTACACAGTTCCATTGCTCTCCTCATGAAAAGAAATTGGCATTTTTGTTCCTTGCAAATGATATTTTACAAAATAGCAGGCGAAAGGGTTCTGAATTTGGTGGTGAATTTTGGAAGGTTCTTCCAGATTGTCTTCGAGATGTCACTCAAAATGGAGACGAGTATGGAAGGAATCAAGCACTTCGACTGGTACGTTGATATTTAATGTTTCTTAATTTGTGAATGATGCATGTTTTTGACTTGATCTCTGCAGCTTATTTCCCCCCTATATATTGACTAAAGCTGTACCGTTTCTTTTAGACCTTTCAATCTAAAAAATATGGTTAATAACTTTAATTAATCTCTTCTGCTTTCTTTGTCTACGTGGAGTCTACTGCGGAATGCAATGTGTCTGTGACTTAGTGTTTAATCTGCTTGGATCTGATACTAGTACTATAAAGCTCTACTTTGAACATGAATGATATAAACAATTAGTATGTTGATGTTCTAGAAGTTGCTACACCAAACATGAGTAGTGTTTGGTGCTTCAATAGAGAGGTCATTCTAATATGATTGCATTTCATCTATAGCTGTAATTTGTAAGGAAACTGAAATACATAATAGAAGAATGAAGATAAATATGGAAGAAGTATCAATTCTCACATTATTGAATTAGAAAGCAATACAACAAGATTTATTTATTACCACTAGTATATGTTGCAAACAAATTTACATCAGACACAAACACACAAAACCAAATTATGCTAACATAATAGTAAACTAAATATTTCCACTTATGTCGCTTTCTTCGAAATCATTCAGTTACTCAACAACAATGCATCAGGCTGAATTACTAATTATAACTGTGAACACCTATAATTCAAATCAAGAAGATGTCAATTATTAACAATGTATTTTGTAGTTTAGTAATTTTGAAATGCATACTATGCCGATAAAAATCAAATTATAAATTCCATAAGAAGTTAATGAGTTAGTAATTATACTCGGATAATTTTAATTTTGTTTTTACTCAACTGTTTTTGGAGTAGAATCAAAAGGTATTAAGTTGTTTCCGCCGCTGATTCGCAGACATGTTTTTTGTAAATTGGCATAGCAGTTAAGTTATTATGACAGAAAGAAACTGGACTTTTATTAATTGAATGGTCAAGACAAGGTACATGTGTTTATAAATGGGTTCAATTTTTATGGTTGTGTTATACTTGAGTCAAGACAGTTATGTTACACATGTATCCTTGCTTTTGGGAAAAAAACGTCGTCGTTATTGACTAGCTTTGTTGTTGTTGTTGCAGTAAAGGAAGTTGTGTTGAAATTGAAGTCACTTTTAACTAAGGACAAGGTTTTGGTTTCTGTTGCTGCTGGAATCAAGTTGAAAGTTCTTCAGGTAACAGAACCCTGTTATTTTTCTCCTTCATTTCTCCGTATAGAGTATAATTCATTATTAATAAATCTACACAAGCTTGAGTTAATATGTTTATACAAGTTATATATTCTATTTGTTGTATATAAGATGAAATTAACAATGCTCAAACACTGATATTGTAAAGCCTTAGGTGCTTTTGTTTAGGTGTTGTTTGTTTCTATAGTCTAATAGCAATGTATATTTATATTTATAAAGAAAACAGAAACTTATGCAGTTAACTTGGCTGCAATTAAAGTATCTAACTTGGCTGCAATTAAACTATAAATGCAGAAAAACGTATGCATATTACTATGAGAAAAATGTATGCATATTACTATGACAGCATATTACTAATCCCAATCATATCCATATCTATGTAGTAAAATTGACTAAAGTTTAATATATATCACTGAAATGACAAACACATGGAAATTACCCCATTCTTTAACATATAAGAAGGTAAGCATCAAGAGTCTTGTGCATGTCTTGACGTTCATTTTTCCTGTATGCTTCAACTTCTTGCTTTGTCAGTGCACTTGCTGGAAATTTACCACCCACTATAGATAACCAAATTAACAAGATATTAAATTAATCCAGTTACTCATAGGGATCTTAGGTGATGGCACATGCACATGAAGAATACAAATTCTCTTTCCTTCAGAATTTTGTATAGTCCAAACCATATTTAGTTAAAGCATGTCAATTTACACTAATTTATAAATAATTATATTTATAATTTTACATATTAAAATAGATTTATAATTAGGACACCTTTAAAATTTTAAAACAAAGTGTTAAAAATATGATTGAATTTTATATTCAAACTTTGATACTCATTCTTATTAATATATATTTTTAATAATATATTTGTATCTCTCATTAAAACATACTTATAGATTTTCAAAAAATTGTTTAAATCTAATAAAAACTTTAAAATTAATAAGTTAGACAAGATTAAATTAGATTGTCAAAAAATTGTTTAAATCTAATAAAAGAATAAAAGAAGATTTCAAAGGGAGAACATACGGCGTTCTTTATCATGGCTACTCCTTATATTTTTTAGACTCTGTGTTGTGACAGTGACACAGGGGGCCGGGGCTAAACACAAAACATTTTAAGTGATAATAGTTTTAAAGACATATATAATATTTAACACATATATAATGCTTCAACTCATGATAATATTTTAAGTGATAACAGTTTATCCTCAACACCTTTTTTTATGATATTTTTTCTAAACACCTTTAGTTAATAATTATTTTGTTATGATATAGTCATGATGAACACTTCTATTATGTTTTGAAGTATACCCTTATAGACTTATAGTAATATATAATTTATTTCATTTTAGAAAACTGAACATGATAAAGAAGGATTGGGTGGAGTTGCCTCCACACAGTCAAGATTATAAGGATGGTGTCAATTACTTTTTGGATATTGCGTTTACTAAAGGAATGGTTGAAGAAGAAGAGATTTTGTGTCCTTGTGCTGTATGTTGTAATGATAGTTGGGAAGTAAGAGATGTAGTGTATGACCATTTATGTAGCAAATCTGTTTTTGGAAAGAAGCGTCCCGGTAGGGTACGTTGTTATGGGAGAAACATAACTAAAACTTCCTTAAAGCGAAAGGCAGAGATTAATGCTCTGAAACAAGTACACAATAAAGAGTTCATTACATTAAGGCATGAGTTTCAAGATCAGATTGATAGATTACAAAATGCTTTTAAGACCGTAATTCAACAATGCAATCCTCAAATTAATTTGGAGTCAATAGAAGATTTGTTAGGATTATCTCATAGTGATGCTAACAGTTCCCCAAAGGAAATGAGACCGCAAATTCATTCCTCTACATCAACTCATGCTCCGTGTCAAGGAAAGGTAACCATATATACCAATATTATTGATTTATGTATTGTGTGTTGGTTAAGAAGATATGATTTATGATAAAGAATGATGAGTGCAATACTTTTGCCATGAATATTCTTACTCTGCATTAATTGGTAGAATAGAAGAGACCATACTTTTGTTTAGTGTGTGTAATAATCTTGTTTCATGTAAACTATCTCTAAAACTTAATTTAGGTACAATATATTTTGATAACATTTTTTAAAATAAAAGATTAAATTGTTTTGGGAAGATATTCAATCTTACAAAAACAATTATGATGTATTTTGTTTTACTTTCTTATGCAGCAAGGTATTAATGAAGATGTTGAAAAAGACGATATAAATGACGAAATTCAAGAGGACGATGTAGATGATGGATTCTAAGAGGATGTTGCAGGTGATGAATTTCAAAAGGACGACATAGATGTAGATGATGAATTTCAAGAGGACGATTTAGATAGCGAATTTCAAGAGGACGAGGTAGATGAAGAATTTCTGGAGGACGACATATGTGATAAATTTCAAGAAGACGATATGAATGATGAATTTCAAGAAGACAAACTTGAATGAGTTGGATGATTTCCTTTTTTTTTGCTTGTAGTTGAAAGCATTAAACTTGAACTATGTTTTTTGTTATTTTGCTAGGTGTCGCTACCGCGAAAATAAGGTGCCGACAAAACAGAAGAGTCGCCACCTTTCGTTATGTATCCCTCAGAACGGGAAAGGAAACGATCGGAAAAACCTGTCGAAAAGGTATAAGACAAGGTCATCGCAACCGTTGTCTGGGTTCGGGAGTCGGTTACGCAAGGGGAAGGTATTAGCACCCCTCACGTCCATCGTACTCGATGGGATCCACGCTTGTTTGTGTTTATCTGATGGGTTTGTTTACTATCTACCTATCAAGGCTGGCTTAAAAAAGAAAAGAAAATAACTCGGCAAAGCGTTGCACTTTATGCCTACGTATTCTCATCAGAGAATGAGAAATCAGAGTCAACGTAGTTCGACTAACTACGGGTGACAGGGAAGGTGGCTCGCCAATACATCAGTATTGTGCCTACGTACTCTCAACAGATATGAGAGATCAGAGCTTACGTAGTTCGGGATAATACGGATTACGGGAATTCAGATTCATCTATTTTATCGAGTGGGGTTAACAAACAGTTCCAGCAGTTTGGTGTACGCAGCTCGACCCTTGGAGACTTAGGCGTTACCGTTTGTGGTAGAACTGAGAGTTAACGACACTCTTTTCTTCAGAAAAGCTTCCTTTGAATTATGGGCCCACGGGGCAAAAAGGTTTGAAGTTCGTTTTTTGTCTTTTACGGAAGAACTGCTTTTTAGTTGTCTGTAGTTTGTACAGCACTAGAGACTATGACCTGGGAACGAATGTGTCGCATATCGTCCAAAGGACGTATACTAAACATTCTAGACGATTGAGAGGAGGCCGCTCAATTATCATTACCCAAGTAGCTTAAGGCTCGTAACGCGCTTGTACTAACTTGCCTTTATTACGTTTTTTACTGTTGTTTTGAGATGAGAAGAGAGAGGGACAACTACAGGGAGACTATAAAGTCCTAATGTTGTCATGCCAAGGATTCATCCTATGGTTGAGGTTTGAAACAGGGAACTCCTAGAAGTTATCATGCATAGGTTTCAACCTAAAGTTCTAATCATCACTTCCTTATCAAAGGAAGTGAGATTCCTAGGGGATCATGTCAATGATAAACAAAAACAGATAAAGCATCAGCTTAAACAGTAAACAGATATACAATACAAGAAACAACTGTAGAATGCATGCAATGCAAGTGAGGGAGGAAATGTGTGTGGGGCATCAGCCTCCACAAGCTCATCTCAACCTCAAGCCAGATATGGATAACTGCAATCATACAGAAGAAATAAAATGCCATCAAGCAAATCACAAACCACATAGGCAAGGGAGCAGAGCTCTACCAAATACCCGCAAACAAAGCCATACAGTAAAAATACAAGCAGAGGGAGAAACTCAACCTCTAGTGCAATCATGCTCCTAGCTTAAAGCAATCTAAACATGAACTTATTCTAATGCATCAAAAAAATCAAACAAGTCACAGCAATATAGTTGCACAGAAAAACAGATAGGAAAGAAAGCAGATCAACAGCTTCTACAGCTTCACAGCAAAGCAATCCTTCTGACAGCAGTTCATTCCTCAGTCTGAAATGTTCCTTAAGGCTTTCATATTCAATAGTAAGTTTCAACTTGATTCTTCAAGCTTTCAATGCATCAGACACAAGTGTCAACTTGTTCTCCATCTTCTTCAAGCTTCAGCTCTTTCTTCAATCTCAATTTGATCTTCTTCACAAGTGTCAACTTGTTCTTCTTGATCTTCAAGCTTCAGCTCCAGAGGAAGCCTTCAATATTCTAGCAAGGAACTCCATCCTCTAGCAAGGGAGAAAGATTCATCTAACAAGAGCAAGATGGGGATAGGGAGAAGCAAAGTGAAGACCAAAGGTTACCTATAAGCATTCCACCATCAAGGAAAGGAACCCTCAAAGGTTCTACCAATTTGTGAGGAGCCACTCATCCTACCAAAGGAGGGATGGGGTCTTCACAATGGGACCTTACATCATAGGGAGGAATGGAAGTGATCAACACCTTCCATGTTTCATGAAGGAAGAAAATCTATTCTAAGAGATCTCCCTAAAAACCCTAATCCTTAACCCTAAACAAACTACACCAAAGGGAGAGAAAACTTCAAGCCCAGGCTCCACCATGCATTCCACAGCAGCCCACACATGTCTTCATCATCATCCAAGAGCAAGAGAAGCAAAACCCTAGTATAAGGGAACTAATGAAGTCATTTTAGTTGAGTTAGCAAGTTAGGATCACCTAAAACCTAGTATTAAAGTTAATCCTAACTAAAATACTAAAACCAATTGTAAAATCCTACAAAAATAACTATGGGAACCTATGTCAATCATGACTATACCATGTTAATTCCAGAGATCAAATCCTCAAATAAGACCTAGAAATAAATTCTACACTACAAGGTACTAAACTTAAACCCTAAAAGGAAGAACCTAAAGTTCAACCTAAAGCCAACACCTAATTTCATCACAAAAATGTGAGAAAAATACTACGGGAGCATACATGTCTAAGCTAATCACAAACAAAAAATCAATCCAAAAATCATCACCAAGTGCTCACACTAAAATCATCAAACAGAGGTATCAACCATGACCATTTTATTAACAAATAAAATGTAAAAAATGCACAAAAATTGAAAGTGCATGATTTTCCTAATATTTTTATGCAAAAAAATTCTAGATTCAATCATGAATCAGGGGGAAAAAACTTGGAATTAATTGACCTATTTTTCTATTTTTTATGAATTGTTTTCAAACTAACTTGAAATGATGAATTTAAAAGAAAAAACAAGAGAAATTAATAAACCTGCGTGCTGAATAGCAAATATAATCAGTTCATAATGTGGGTTGGGCCAGATGGGGGAGTGTGGATAGCAAGAAAATGCCAAGGCCCATGCGCTATGCTAACTCATCAGCTCAATTCAATTCTCAAACTGAAAAATAAAAAGAATACATGTCAGGATTCGAACCCATGCGCGTTTGGTTCACCCAGCGAAGATTCACAAGCTTGGATTTCTGATAATCAAAACGCTGCATTGAGGGGGGGGGGGTTACGTGGCGCAACATACGCGCTAGGATGGATAGACTGAGTCAACATTTCCACACAAACGGACGGTCAATGCTTCGTCTTCTTCATTCAAACCTGCAACATTCGCGCGCAGCCCACGGCCACCGCCGGTGACATTTCCGGTCACCCTGCACAACCCTAACTTCCTCTACACACATCCATTTGCCATGATCTTTACATGAAACTTGACCAGAATTTCACCAGGAACTCAATCATAGCATCTATTCGCTCTAACAACGCAAGAATCTTAAAATAACCATCTCAACCAAAAATGCAATTAACCCTAAGTTGTCTCTAAAGTTGAAATTAACTATCTGAAATCCATCTAGATCATGAATAGAGCCTAACCGCATGCTTCTAGTTCATTGAAAACACATAATCAGAGAGAGATTTCAAGAAGTTAAAACCTGGCTTTGAACTCGGATTGCAATGGATTCAAGCCTCAATTCTCTTCCAAATCGTCCAGAAATCTTCAGTGATCAATGGTGAATGCTTCTTGATGCTCAATTCTGGTTGAAAACTCTTGATTCTTAAAAACGAAATTCAATTCCAAGCTTGCTTCTTCACTTCTCTCCAATGGCTTCTCCACGAAAATGATCACCAGAACCTTCCAATTCTGTTCTAAATCCTTTTTATATTCTGTTTCAATGGATTAGAGGCCCAAACCAGGCCCATTCATGAGTTTTGGATTTTCACCTCTCTTCCAAATTCCCAATGTTGATATCCACCTTCAAGCCTTGTTCATACTCCAAACTCAGTCCAAACCATTCACTTAAGCCTTGTGGAATGTAGTGATGTGGTTTCCTTCCTTTGACTTCAACCTATGGAGTGTGTGAGATGTGTTTCTTATTTGTGAAGCAACCTTTCAAATGGCCATGTTATGGACTTCAAACCAAAAATGTAATAATGCCAATCTCCTTAGAACATCAATTCCATTCAAAATGACTACAAATTTGACTTGAAAACATGTTATTCTCAATTGTTTTGAATGTTCTCATTTTAATTCATTAAAATGGCTTTTATATGAACTTTCCTCCACCAATGCTTGATATAATCCATATCAATGGACTCTTGATACTTAGAAAATCTAAAAACATCATTTTGAACAACTTTCATGTTGAACAAAAATCCATTTGAGGCTTGCAAGATGGTGAAATTGACTTATGATTCAAAATGACTTGTAATGTCCAAATACCAAAAATACCCTTGACTTGTCAAAGCCATAACTTGAATTCTACAAATCCAATCATAGACTTCTAGAACTCTTTAGAAAGTTAGGAGAATAAGGAACAACATTCATGTTGACAAAAAGTTCATAGGAATCATCCTTCTAGGGAAAAAGTGTCATGCAAGTTGGGTAACTCTCAAGCTCCAAATTCACATGCCTCAGATGACCTGTAACTTGTGTTGCACCCCAAAATTTGACCAACAATTATTCATTCATTAAGTGTTTGAAAGTTGATACCTTCATCAGAGAGTTCAAGAGATCCTCAGAGAAGTGGTTTGAAACCAGGGTTGTGTGCTTCATAGCTTGAGAGTTGTGGGTACTCCTCAGATGATTCTGAGACTTTGAGAATGAACTAGATGCTTTGAGAAAGCCTATGAGATGTCTTGAAAGCCATCATGGAGCCTAGAGAGGTCATTATGCAAGAGTTCAGAAGATTCAACCATGAATGGTAGAATTAGGGTTTTGACT